GTGTCAAATTGCAGCTGCTGCAGAAGGAGGCCACAGGAATTATTTAGCACAAACAAGGAATAGCACAGAGATGTTACATGGTTTTCTAAAGGCCACACAGCAAGTTAAGTCATTCTAGTGTCTAGGTTAACTGGCAGCTGGGCCCCAACAGTCCATTCAGTGTAGACCGGCCTCTGTAGGTTTTACCTGAAAAGAAAAAAAGTTATAGGTAAATGCCTGGCTTTGCTTCACACCCCTCTCTAGTATGCCCTCCATGGCAAATTATTTGCTAAGTGTTCACCCAGGAAATGAAATGGTAGTAGTCATTTAAGAGGTGTTTATTTATAAGCCAATCAACAACAGGGAAATGCTTTGGTTCTAGAATACTTGATCTTTAACCCTTCTTTATCGCAATGACTAGGCAGGAGGAAAAGTTATATATGGAGGCCACTCTGAGTTTGAAATATCTGTATATTAGAAAAGAATGTTTGTCTTTTTTTCCTAATTAGGGGGTGGTGGCAGCAGCAGTCAGTATCTTGTACATGTTAAGTAGCAAATTAGCATTAGAGCTGATTGTAGGGCTTGGAGTCCTAACTCCCTATCTGTCACTCTCAGCAGAGGCAGGAGGCTATCTTGCTCTTGACCTTCCTTGGATGTCAGGCTCAGGGCAGCCCCTGGGTTTAAGAGGGTGCCCTTCCTTGTACCTCCAGCAGCAAATTTCTGTTGTAGACAGCAAACTTATCCATGCATTCATATATTCACTCATAAGTAAATAACTTCACCTCAACAAAAATATGAGCATGTGGGTTAATAGAGGGTTAAATTGCCTAATTTGCGCATGAATTATCTGGAAAGTTTTTTAATGTTTAGTCACACACTTCACAAAAAAGACATATTAGGGCAGCACCTAAAAATCTGGCCAAATAGACCCACTCTAAATCCAGTCCCGTGTGCCTGCTACATGGGCCCCCAGAGCTAAGCAAAGGTACTGTAAATCCTATAAAAGCAGGGAATGTTTAACTAACTGAATCACACAAAAGCACTTTTAAAGACTATATAATATCTAACGTTTGTGTGTGAACCATATGCTAATTGCAACTGAGCCTTACCAATTAAAGAGGGTCCTTGAGCAGAGCTGTGTAGGAACACTGTTAGCTCTCAGACTGAACAGCTATATAGCTAGGAAATGGTAGAGCAGTATTCTTGGAAAATATTCTCTAATCCAGATGCTTCATGTTCAAAGCTGGCGCTGTGATGATGAGCACACTTTGAGATCTTATTCATACCTTTGGATCGGACTGTGGACCATACCTTCCAGACCAGACATGCCTGGTATGCTCTTTCACTTTTTAACTCTGGACCTTGGGCAAGGCAGCTCTCTCTCCTCTCTGTATTCAGCTTTCTCTTCTACAAAATGGGCTTGGTAGTGCTCTTGACATTTGATGGATCTGTGAAATGCCAAGCACAGAGCCCGGTGATCTGTAGTGAAAGACACCATTAGGACCATTCTCCGCTGTGCCCACATGCTCTAAGTACCTAGACCACCTGGGAATGCGTTAGTCAAGAAGAGGACTGTAAAGCCGCTTTGAGTGGGCTATAAGGCCATGGACAGGAATATGAACAGAGTGAGAAGTGACCTTGACCTTCAGATGGATAGGTGCCACATTGAAGCATGCAGTGCTCAGGGCAAGTGATGTCTTCCAAGGCTTAAAACTGTTCCCCAATCACCTGAAAGAGGATACCACCACCAACAAAGAATGTTCTCTGAGTAGTCATCAAGAGAGAGTGTTAATTGTTAACCAAGTGTCCAAACTGTACCAGGCCCTTTGTAATTTTTACCTCATTTCCTTTGTGTGTAACAGCTCTGTGAGGGAGACTTCATAAGTCCTACCATTTGGGAGGTGGGGAAAGAGAAGTTCAGAGATATTTAGTCACTTCCTCCAAGGTCTCAGAGCAAAAAGAGGCAGGCAGAGCAGAGAGGAGATGCAAATTCAGGCCTGGGTGACTCTATGATATGCTGTTTGTCATGTTATGTTTGTAATCCTCAAAACCATCCAACAGGGAGGTGGGTAAGCAGTAAATCCAATTTAAATGGGAAAGAGGTGATTAGAACAACTCTGAGATCCAGCTCTGCACACATGAGAAATTGTCTTGGATGTAAATTGAGAGACATGGTTCTGTGAAAAGAAGAGGCTTCTAGGGGAAAAGGGATCTGAACTGGCTGGAAGGTGGGGGCTAGAATGCAGCATGGGCAAGGGCTGGAGGAGGAAGGGAACGTGGTCAGCATAGCTTCCAGCTGGGCAATGCTAGTATGAGGAACCTGGGAGCTGTGCTGCTTCTCTCACTGTCCTTCCCGCTATGGCACAGGGACTTGTGTGCTTGCATCTGTCTACCTCCACCCCCACTAAGCCTTGAGTTATGTTTTCAAAGGTAGGAAGGAAGTATATTTAACTCATCTTTGTCTTCCCCAAACCAACACAGTACCTGGTACAGAGTTAAAGGTCAACATACTTATTAACTAGGCTGATGAGCCAAAACTTGGTGAGATTAATCAGAGAAGTCTTTCCATAGGAGGGAATTTATGCTGTGAAAAAGTGGACATCAGGGATGTAACTTGGTGGAGAGAAAGCACACATGTGCCTTCTCCTTATAAGTGTGAAGAGCAAGTGTGTGTGTGTGTGTGTGTGCGCGCGCGCGCGTGCACAAAAGGTGGTGGGGGAGGGGGGGAGGGGGGGGAGAGAGAGAGAGAGAGAGAGAGAGAGACATTTGCTGTCTTACTAAATTTGAAAGGAACATTTTGGATTTGCTGTTTTGAAGCCTGTTTTAGAGACAAACATGACTGAATTCCAGCCCCAGCCCCAATAACAACACTAGACGTGTAATTTGCATGTTTACTTTTGTGAGTCTGTGTCACACTCTTCTGTACAAATGGACTAAAAGCAAGAAGATACACCTGCCAAGGTAGTTGAGAGGGATACATGAGATGATATGACATCTCACACAGGTCCTGATATGTGATAAATCCTTACTTAATGTTGGTCCCCTGCTTTAAAAGCCTCTGCTCCATGGAGGTCTAAGTCCTCTGCCTTAGCAAAAGCATGGGGTTGATCAGCTTTTGCCATTTGCCTACTTGTGATGTCTCTGCTGTTTGAGCTCCCAGGATCAATAAGCCACCAAAGTCCTGCCACATGTTGCCTCAGACTGCATCTGGACGCTGTTCTCTGTGGATCTGGTTCAGCAGGAGGCCAGATGGGATAGAAAAAAGACTTCAGAGTGGATACAAACCCAGATGACACAATCTCCACCACCTTCCAAGCTGTGTTATTGAAGCCTGGCATGCCCCGGAGACACCAGGATGGCTCACCAAGGTGGCTTTGCCCCAGCTTGGCAGTGAGCTTCCACTTGGCCACTGAAATTTTCTGTTCTTTCCTCCTGATGGGGAATTCACCAAGGATTCAATGGGTTCCAGCCATTTGATCTCTGGCATGGGGCAAGCAGGCCAGCCACACCTACCCGCTAAAAGGGGCTGAATTCCAGTGGATTTTCAGGAAAAAGAGGTAGGAAGCTGGAAGCCCAATCCTTTGCTCCCATCTATACCCCCAGCTGTGCTTCCATCTGGCAAATCCTGGGGCAAAACACACAAATACATACACACAGCCCAAATAGAATGAAATGCTGCCAGCCCTACCTGGCACCCAACTGTCTTTCTTTGTTAAACACAGAAACTCCTGACAGTCATGTGTGTGTGTGTGTGTGTAGGGGGGCTACTTGTTGCTCTTTTTCTGGGGTTCCCAGGGGACACTCAGGGCTTTTCTGTCTCAGGAGGGACTCCTCACTCCTCCCCTGGAATGTCCCCCTCCTGCGGGCAGCAGAGGCACTGTGGTTCTAGATTGTTCCCTTCCAGCATCTCCCCTCTGGAGACCCCGGGCTTGGTCTGAGGCGGGATCTCATAATGGTGCAAAGGAAGGCTGCTCCCCCCACTCAGTCCCTGGCTCATGGTGGCCTTCTTGCCATCCGCGAGGGCAGGGGGTCAAGTTCTCACTTCGGAGCTACTTGCCCCCCTCGAGGACAAGCCCCCATTAGTTCCTTCCAAAAAAAAAAAAGTAACTTTCTGCAGGTCCCCAGCCCCCACCGGCCCTTTCCTCCTCGCCCCGCCCTTCCCCTTCCCCTAGCTGCCTAGCAGAAGGCGGGCTGAGGGAGGCGGGCTCGCTCGGCGTGCGTCCTGGGGGTCTCCCTTTCCTCCCGCGAGGCGGGGGAGAATCGAACCCATCCGAGCCCCCCACGTCCGTCCCCAGTCTCCCTGGTCCTCGCTTCTCGGAGGCGGAGCGCTGCCTGCCCTCCTAGGCGCTAGCCTTGGCCGCCTCCGGCGTTTGGAAATCTGCCCAAAACAGGGGGCCTGGAGGAGGAGGAGGAGGAGGAGGAGGAGGAGAGGAGGGACGGCGACCGGCGGTGAGCAGCGACAGCCAGAGTCCAAAACATCATGGGGACAGGAGCGGAGCGCGGCGGCGGCGGCGGCTGGGAAGCTGCGCCGCGGCACCCGACCGCAGTGCATCAGCGTGGCTGCCCTGACATCCCCCAGGATGGTTAACACCGGGCATTATGCGCTGGTTAACAGGCTCCGAGCTGCTCAGCGACTTGTTTTAAGCATTTTCTCCCTCGCTCTCGCTTTTAATCTTGTCTCTAGTGGCGTGTGTAGGGGGGAGGACTTTATTTCCATTGGCTAAGCGCTCCCTTCCCACCCACATCCCTTCCACATCACCTTGGTGTCTCCCTAAATAAAACCAGCCCTCCTTATCGCCTGGAAAAAATCAGGAGCTAGAGTTTGAATGGGTTTTTATATAAACACTCACCCCTGTCAGCGTGCTGCGGGGCTCTCAGGATAAACTCACAGTGTCTGGCCTGATGCATGCCTGGCGTTCTCTTCCTTGATCTTCAAGGTTTCAGCAGAGCCTGAGGACTGGGGAACTCTTCCCTGAAATTTGATCAACCTGAAGCCAGTTGCAGAACTGCACAGGGTCCCGATGGACCTCAAGGAGAGCCCCAGCGAGGGCAGCCTGCAACCTTCTAGCATCCAGATCTTCGCCAACACCTCCACCCTCCATGGCATCCGCCACATCTTCGTGTATGGGCCGCTGACCATCCGGCGAGTGCTTTGGGCAGTGGCCTTTGTAGGCTCCCTGGGCCTGCTGTTGGTGGAGAGCTCCGAGAGAGTGTCCTACTACTTCTCCTACCAGCATGTCACCAAGGTGGACGAGGTGGTTGCCCAGAGCCTAGTCTTCCCAGCTGTGACCCTCTGCAACCTTAATGGCTTCCGGTTTTCCAGGCTCACCACCAATGACCTGTATCATGCTGGGGAACTCCTGGCCCTGCTTGATGTCAACCTGCAGATCCCTGACCCACATCTCGCTGACCCCACAGTGCTGGAGGCCCTGCGGCAGAAGGCCAACTTCAAACACTACAAACCCAAGCAGTTCAGCATGCTGGAGTTCCTGCATCGTGTGGGCCATGATCTGAAGGATATGATGCTCTATTGCAAGTTCAAAGGACAGGAGTGTGGCCACCAGGACTTCACCACAGTGAGTACTTGGTTTTCAGCTCACTCTTGTACTTGGTCTTCTGGAGAACTGATGCGCCGGTGGTCTTCTGCTTGGCTTGGTGTCACCCTGGGTTTTCCAATCGGGGGAGAGAGAGCAGAGCCTCAGCTGAAGGCCAAGAGGGTAGTTGGTGAGAGTTGTTGGAGCTGCCAGGATGGAGCACTGTGGTCCATTCAGATATGCAGGGCCACAGGGGCTTGCCGTGGGGTCACTTCCCCAGATGTGCTGAGTTGGCTTCCTCCCAACTAGAGGGAGGGAGGCCTGGGTTGTCTGTTGTCCAGGGCGTTTGGTCTCTGAGCTGTGTGATTGGAACAGCTTGTCATTGATGAGGTGGCATCCTCTCTCTGTCCCTGTCTCTCTCTCCTCTCTGCTCGGAAGTGGCATCAGGCACTGCATCCTGTGGGTTGGGCTGGAGCTAAAGCTGTCTGAGAAGTGGGTGTGGGGCCCCCAGCAGCCCGGATGGCTCCAGCGGCTTTGGGAGCTTGCTGGAGCAGGTGGTGCTGTAAAGGTGTGGAAGGCTCTTTGCATCCTTTTCTTGTGGGATTTTGAGCTCCATGTGGGGGGACCCTCCAGGCTCCATCTGGCCCTCTGGCAGGTTGAAGCAAGGAGCTGTCCAGGGTGCTTGGGCAGAAAGGCAGAGAGGAGAGTCAGGGTGGAGGCATGTGAGCAGGATGGGCAGTCGGATGCTCTTGGGGGAGAGGTGGTCCTGGCTGATTTGTCTGGGAGCTTTAGCTTGAAACTCAAAGCTTGTTTTCTGTGTGTCCAATTGCTTCACAACGTGAGTGCGGGAGGAGGGGGCCCGCAGCTGTAGGATTGGAAAGCCTAGAGGGGGAGGGTTAGCTGAGTGAAGAGGAACTGCGGAGGGGATGTGGCTCATATTCAGGACAGGCTTACTGGAGGGAGCCAAGAGGGAGGGGTGGGAGGACAGCTGTTGCTACCAGGACTCTTGGCCCAGTTAGTGGACTGCTAGGCATAACTTGGCATAATAGGTGAGACGGCAGCTGCTAACTCCTCCACAATACCAGGCACGTCTGGGGCGTGAGTGGGGTCCTCCTGAAGTCCAGTGTAGCTGCTTCCCCCACGGCTGCTTTGGGAAGAAAGGTGAGATTTTGAGACTAAGAGTCTTGAGTCAAAATGTAATTGCAAGTTTGGGATGGCCGGTGCAGAGTTGCCAAGGGACTGGACTGTGTCATCAGCACTTGTCTGGGGTGCTCTGTCTCATTAAGATATTCCCTACCTTTCCCCTGGTGCATTCCTTCCACTCCACCTTGCTACCCCCTCCTGAAATTCACTTGCCTTTTGCTCTGAGGTTCTTCTAATGCTACAGCCAGACTGCCTGCAGCCTCTGCGCTTGCTGTTGGCTGTCCAGAGTGCCGGGGGCATTGCCTCTCAAAGCCTGTGTGCTAGAGCTGTTTCCTGGGGGAGCTGTTTTGTATTATCGCTTTTAAATATTCTGAGGAAGAGCACAGCAAAATTATCAGCAGCGTTTGCTAAAGAGGAAGCTAGTCTGCATTGGAGGAAGGGACTGACCCTTCTAAATGGAGCAAACACATGATCCTAAAACATGTCATACACAAATGATGTCTTAGGTGCCCTGAGGGAGAGATGGGGAAAGCGCTTCGTTCTTGGAGGCTGAAACCATCACTGTATTCCACCCCATGCTTTCTAGTGCCTGGCAACACTCAGCTTCACCACTGTATCGTGCAGCTCGGAACTGCACTCAGCTGTTTCTATGTCTGCTTGCCCACACATGGATGGAGCACAGATCACAGAGAGGGTGGCACAGAGAGGCTCTAGTCTTCAGAGAACCCTGGACTAAGTCCTCAAGTATCCTTATGACAGTGTGTACAACTGGTGGTGTCCCCTGTATTAATGTTTAAGTTCCATTTAGCTGTAAAGGTTTTATTTTGAGCTGCTCTTTTGCACTTGCTCCCTCACTTGAGTTTCTGGGGTCCCAAAAGACCAAAGATCAGGTCTTAAAACCCTACATGAGCCTTCGATCTCCCCAGAATGTCTCCCAAACAGTGAAGTTGCCTGTGGATAAGGTTTATTACTTGACTAGTGGCGTGTCATTATCTGTCATCCTCTCCAAGTTCAAGATTAATCTGTTTGAGTGCCTATCCTTGGACTGACCTCCTATGTGTGATCTTTCTCAGCCTTGAAAAAGGGCCAAGCCTCAGCACCGCTCTTCCAGCTGCTCAGGAATTTCAGAGAGGGTACCCACTCCAGGAAAGCGAGAGGGGTCCAGGGAGGCTGGTCTTCACCAGTTGGTTACAGTGAGCAGTCACTCTGAGCCTCTACCAGAGGCAAAATTGGTGTCAAGTTTGTTCAGTGCCTCACAGTGGGAAATAATCCTCCCAGTTTACCCTTGGTCTCCCTATGTCCTTTTGGCCCGGGGTGTAGAAATGCTTCTTCTTGGGCTCCTACACCAGAAGAGAGCTGAGGGCCTGGGCAGGTGGCTGTTGGAGAAGCCCCTTCCCTAGCCTTCTTTCTCATTCATTCTCTCTGTTGCACATCCCTCTCCAGTGGGCTTGCTTATGAGCTCTGCCTGGGGTTGTACCACGCTGGGTGCCTTTCTTTAAGCATGGTGGCTGACTTATTAGAGAAGGTAGTGTGGGTGAGGGGATGTCACAGGTGGGTGGCTTTTTCTTCTGAGTTTGTTTATCTATAAAGCATATGTAGTGACGTCTCCGGGTCTAATGCTTTAGCATAAGCTTCCTTATTCCAAGTTCTTAGCTGGTGTGCAATGAAGTGCGCAATACCCTTTAATTAACGAATGAGCCCATGATTCTAGCTGAGGGAGAGAAGGTTGTTTGTAGAGACTAAAAGTCTCCAGGAAGCCAGGTGCGAAATGCCAACTGCTAGGTTAACAGGTGAACTCCATTCACATGCAGGCACACTCTTAGCCCTTACCGGATACAAGCTGACTTCAGATAGGTATGCACTTTTTCTTCCTAGGATGCAGAAGAAAGCTTTAATTCCAGAAATGATCCCACTGATACATGGTAGAATTTGAACTCAAGACTCAGAGTAGGTTTGAAGCCCTGCTACATCATTTTTTCCTTATTCCCTGGGTTGCGTCTTGCATCCTCTCCAGACTTCCACGTGCTCATCAAACATGTGATAATTATATGTAACAGTCTAACCCACAGGGTTGTTGGGAGGATGAAACATGGGGGGCAAGATATGTGAAAGTCCTTTTTTACATTTTGCTAGCTGCATAGGTGTGAGGCAGGGTTACCAGTATTCGTTGGAGGGCTATTGTGGTCCAGCTGACCTCTCCCATTTGCAGGAGTCAGATTGATGAATAATACTGAAAGGATGAAGTCAGAGAGGGAGAGGTGGCTTTTGCTTGCTTTCTCTGTTTGGAGCACTGGGTTAAGATGTAGCCTCGCTGAGAGACAGCTTCTTAGAATGGAGGTCATGGTTGGGTTTAATAACTAACTCTTGCTGACAGGTGCAACCCCACTGTCTGTGAGTAACACAGGCTTCATGTTGTTTCTTTGCTAATCACAATGGGGTTTGTCTACCTTGAATTCCAAGAATGCAAGTACACTTCCTTTTTTGCTTTTAACCTGATTTCCATAGTTTTGTGTTGGTACTTTAAATCTGAGATTTCTTAGAAAAGGTATCTTTTTTTTTATTTACCAAAAGAAAGGTCTCTCCACTATGAGATCTTGTGAGAGGCATTGCATAGAGGTTATTAACTTGTACTATACACAATTATAGAGGTGGTGGAAGTGGAGGTTTAGAGAGGTCAGGTCTTTGGGATTCTCATGGAAAGCCAGATGGGCACATAGCTAATCTAGTCTTATTGTTGGCAAGCTGAGTAGTCTAAGAAGACACTACTCCAGAAGACTCTTGAGTCCTTGTGTCACCTGAACAGAGAACTGGACAGAGACACAAATCGCAAAACAGTAGCAAAACTTTATTGAAAATAAAGGAAAGAAAGAGTAAGATGAAAGCACCCTAAGGACAGCAGTGGGCTCTGCCAGGTGGCACAGAAGCACCGATTTCTTTGTTTAAACCCAATTTATAAGTTGTACGGTGTGGTGGTAGGGGTGGAATCTTGAAGTCCTTGGGGCGGGGCGAGGGTGGCTGGCAGGTATACTTAACACAGCCTTATCACATAACAAAAGGTATTCTGTGCATGTGCTTATGCTAATTTTTGGCCTTTAATTGTATGTATGAGATGTAACCAATATTCATGAGGTCCTAAGTAAGAGGTCTTGGCCTGGGAGGTCAAATTGGGGGCACACCCAAAGGCACCTCTTCTGGCTGATATTTTGCAACAATAGTTACCACTGCCCGGTTACTTACAATTTAGAGGGCATTTATTGCTCTGGAGGTGGCTCAGGGTTGTGCTGGGGTGCCTGTTAGCTTTGTTAGCTTTGTTTGCTTAAGAGAAGAGAGCCCCTGGTAAATTATTTTCTCTGCCTGCTAACCTGCTTAATAATTACTTCTTAAATGGGGAGTATGTATGTGAAGAATATGGACTTCAGGGAGAGATGTGAGTTGAAATTCCAACTCTGCCACTTATTTGCTCTGTAATCTTGGGCAAGTTTCTCAGCTTCAATTTCCCCATCTCTAAAATGGAAGCAGTGATGCCCAAGACTTGGAGTTGGGGAGGGAGCTCGCTCTGCTATTTTTGTGTCTTATAGGATCTACTGATGGCACATGAGCCAGATTCCAGCTCTCTCCACCTCAAATGCAGTGCCCCTCTCACTGTTCGGCCCCTTGATTTCAATAATAAGCTTCAGAGCACGGGTAACTGCTGTGCCTGTGGCATTCTCAGTGTTCCTAACTTGCTAAGCCTTCATTTTGTTCAGTGCCTTCCTCCATATCGGTTCTGCTGCCTGAGCACTTGTCTCCTTCTCCACCATCATGGCTTCCATATTCCATCTCATATTCGCAAACTCACCTCCAGGAAACTCATCCTACTGTGGCTCCTATTAGGTGTTGGGTAGCCCCTGCACCATGTGTCCATGTTTGTTCATGTGTTCTCTTACCATGTGTATCATGGTTGTTCATTCCTGCATGGCCATTCCTCTCTTTTTTGATCCAGCAGAGCACTTGGTATGCTGCAGTGATCAACCCAGACTAGACTGTTTCACCATCTGGACTCGCAGCTCATCTCCATCCCTTCCCGCTGGGGGCCAGTCTCGCTCAACACAGGCTCTGCCTGCATCATGCCAAGCACAAGACCTCCCCCAGCAAGGCCTTGTTGGTTTAGTAGTTACTTTCTGTTT